CTACATCTTTCCACAATTTGGGATTCTCCAGATGTTTTGCTCTACAACTTTCAGCAATCCCACTCAGTCCGGGAATAGACAGAAATTGTGTGAGCTATATTTCACAACACATGGAGAATGAGGCAGGGTGCTCTTGAAGGTTCTAAAATGGTGCTCTGACCAGTAGTGCACAGAGACCATGAAGAAAAAAGGAATCATTATCTTAACCCCAGCCAATCAGAAATTCCCATTCAGACAGATTAATTGTATTCTTCACCTCCCTCCCCCCCACAACAAGCCATTACAGAAAAGACTTTCCACAGCTTTTAATCAGCTAAGAAACAGACAAGATATGATAGATTACAAGTGTCCACTCATGTACTTTTTATGTTACACAGTTACGAACACCTCCGTTTCTATTATTCAAACATCACTCTCAAAAGGGAAAATTAGGCTATGGGATTCATGACCATTTAACTAGCCCATAGCATAAAATGAACAGAAAAGTTTCAACCTCATTTAAAATGCAAATGACGGGTGCACCTACACAGTAGCATTAAATGCAGTTTGACACGATTTTAATTACCATGGCTCAACATGGGAGTGGTAGTTTGGTGAAGCACTAGCACTCTTTGCAGAGAAGGAGAAAGAGCTTGTAAAACTACAACTCCGAGGATGATGCATTTCTGGAAATGACTGTACAGAAGATTGAGTGTGTCCTTTGTTGTGCTCATTGTGAATTTCTAAGGAGTGTGCTCCTCCTAGAGAACATCTACTGCTCATTTTGTGACACAGTTCACCAACTGAATCTAATTGCGATTGGATGAACAGAAATATATGTCTAAGGTAAAGGTAAAGGTTTCCCCATGACATTAAGTTTAGTTATGTCAGACTCTGGGGGGTGGTGCTCATCTCCATTTCTAAGCCGAAGAGCTGGCATTGTCTGTAGACACCTCCAGGGTCATGTGGCTGGCATGACTGCATGGTGAGTCATTACCTTCCCATTGGAGCGGTACCTATTGATCTACTCACATTTGCATTTTTTTCGAACAGCTAGGTTGGCAGAAGCTGAGGCTAATAATGGGATCTCATTCAGCTTCCTGGATTTGAATCGCTGACCTTTCGATCAGTAAGTTCAGCAGCTCAGCAGTTTAACCCGCTGCGCCACCAGGGCTCCAGTGTCTATTTCTAGTCTAGCAGTATTCTGAAAAAGGCAAAACTAACTGGAATGCAAATCTTGAATTACTTAACAAGGAAGCCTTGGGGGCTTCAGAAATCTTAATGTGGGAAATACTGCAGTGTAGAGTCATTTTAAATAACTCCTTTTTACAGTGCCTATGTCGATGGATATTTTATCTTAACTGAATCATGCTGGGGCTTCTTCTTTGCAATGGTCTATGCTTAACAGAAATACAGATTTTGGATGGGCTCATGATCTCTAAACTAGTTGGGCATTCAACGGCCTTGTTTATCCCTGGGATTAAGAAAGAGATTTGGATTATTCCCAAGACATCAAACTTGATTATACCAGACTATCATACATGAGATCAGTCTTATTTCCCAATTAAGCGCGGTGTTTTCCACTTACCTTCCCCAACCATCGTCACTCCTATTGACATGCCTAAGAATTTACTTTTTGTCCAGACATGAGCGTTAACGCACATCTTCCTCTCCACACATTCAGCATAAAACCCTGAGACTGGAGGATGATGAGATACTTGTTCTGCTACAAATCTGACCGTGTAACAGTCCGACTCTGCTTGGTCCTGTGAATCTTCTGAGAGAGTCCCTTGTTCACAAAGGGAATGGGAGGAAGAGTTACTATTTGTGTCGGATGGTACATGGCTCTTTGCCATCTTCCATGAGCAGTGAAATGTTTCCCCAATGATTGGATTGTATGGCTTTTTTGCAATCGCCCCTTTGCGGCCTTCATGAAAGGAAGTGAGGTAATACTCGACAAAGCGGATCATCCTCTCCTCAGGGCTGCTGCCATTTGAAATTGCAATGAAGAGATCCGGGTGGGACATGAAATCGGCATACATTTCCAACAAAGAGCGTTTCTCTAAAATAAAAGTAGGAAGAACCACCTGAAATTTAAAAAAAGAGGATCTATATCAATTCAAACGAAGTGGAGGTATACAAGGCATATTGTATTTCTAAATGCTAAACATAAAACATTCACTTTTAGAAATTCACAATGAGCAACTCCAAGACTAATCCCTGTGGCTTATTTTAGCTCAAGTAGCAGGCATGACTTCAAAACTGGCCATTGTTAGTTATTTTTGCTCCTCTATTACTATGATGGCTAACCTCCAAGTTAATTAAATTCTCAGGACATATCCAGATGTGGGTCAACTTCTAGTTTACAGAAGCACATCCGTCTCAATTTGAGAAAGATTAATGCTTTAGTCACTTACTCTTGTTAAGTCCATGCCAAGTTTGAGTTGAGACAGAAGATGTAAGATGACACTACGTTGCTCTTCCACAGCTCCAAGGTCATCTTCTTTATTGTCACATGTATCTTCCACTTCTTCATCTGGATTTATTTCCTCTGGTTCCTAATGTAAATTCCAAAAATAAATGGCACTTTAAATAATTTACCATCTCAAAGTATTTTGGCTTTTCAACTGAATTTCTCTTCCTCCTAAGTACGGCAGTTTAGTCATCCTCCCAAATCCCACAAATGATCAGTCATTGCTCATTAGATGTCAACAAATCATGAAGTTAATTTATATTCAGGTGTATAGCCTATAGTTTTAATTGTGATTTATGCCATGTTACTGTGAATTGCAAAATTGCTGGAGAATCTGTGATTCTTTAATCAAGTAAACCTTTTATTGGCAACCAAAACCAGCATCTGAATTAGTAGGGCTTGAGACGGAAGGATCCATTATTGCCAGCACACTAGTTCTTGCTTCCCTGTGGAAGACTGGGTGAAAAATGTACTTTAATAGATCAGTTTTAATTTATAGATTATGTTTAAAATTAGCATGTATTTACAATTTCACTTCTAATGTGTCTTGGAAAGTGCTGAACAGCCTGCTCTCTGGGACCATGAGATCCAGAACTAATCTTAAGAATTGGGGTTACAAAGTGGAGTCCACGACATGTGAGTGTGGAGAAGAGCAAACCACAGACCACCTACTACAATGTGGTCTGGGCCCTGCCACATGCACAATGGAGGACCTTCTTACAGTGACACCAGAGGCACTCCAAGTGGCCAGCTACTGATCAAAGGAAATCTAGTACAATACCAAGTTTTTAAGTTTATTTGTGTTTTAAATACATTATAACTGTACCCTTAATTCGATTCTGACATGATAAAAAATATACATTTAATAATGAGAGCTACAACAAATAAAGCCAGTAGTGGATAGTGACAAATGCCATTAGAGTAAGTTAATAGTTATGGGTCAACTCTAATAAGAAACATGCTTTATGATTAATGAAGCAACCAATAGTAAATTTTCGTTATTAAAAATTAAGGTTCTTATACTCAATATTTATGACTTATTTATTTACAGTAAACATAACATAGATACTTTTTGAGCTTTGGGGACACACCAATTTATTTGTTATATTGATTAAAAGATGAACAATTAATCAACTTTAACATTTGTGTACAAATTTGCTAAATAGAAAAAAATCTGACTGTGCTGGAAAAGGAATTATATATTTAAAGCGCTTCTGAGGGGTGTGCATGTGTGAAATTTTCTGGAATATCGTGAGAAAAATTCATTATGAGAAATAAAGAAGATTAATTTCAATTAAAATAATTGAAGTGAAATATAAATTACAATAAAGATGTTTCTATATTGAATGATAAACTAGAGGAATGATAAACTAGAGGAATGAAAAACTAGAGGACAAGCAAGTTCCACAACCTGATATAAAATGAATATGTCAGAGGTAGCTCTCAAGAGTTCTGGATTTTGAGAGGTTTTTGTATGTGCAGTTTTCTTATCTTTAGCACACATGCCTCCAGATGAGTCCACAGATGGCTCTTAGCTTCTGCAATAGTTTCATGCTTCTAGTTGTAACAATGCAAGAGAGCTTAAACTAGCCCAGCTTGGGTATTCATCACTTCTCCTATAATTATTTTTATGTTGCAAGATGTATGTCACGCTTCAGGACAACTCACAAGTAGATCTACCACACATGGAAGATTTAGCAATCCACTGGGGGAATCAATGGTTTGCCTTTATCTGTGCATCAGAGGCACTTGAATACTAGGGCTGGCAATACGATCTCCCAAAAGACAACTATTATCCAAACTGGGGAAATAACTCCACAATTGCTACAGACCAAAAACAACAGGAGAATTTAGAAAGATGACCTGGTATGGAAACTCAAAACTCTGTTAGCTCTTATAGCACAAAGGGAACAATATATTCAGTATCATATCTCACCTCAGTTAAACAAGCCTTGGAAGAGGCAGGCTGAAGAGAAAGACAAGCCCAAAAACCTCACTAAGGTTAAGTAACTAAGAAAAATCTTAGTTACTTAACCACTATGGTCTTTATTCAAAAGGACAATCTCCCAGTTCAGGAAAAATGTTGAATTTCCTTTAACTGGAAGAAGCAGCACAACTTTAGAGCCAAGCAAACTGAAACATGAAAAATCAGAGTTTCATGCCCAATATTCTGTTATTTTAGTTCTAAAAACCTATTAAAAGTAAATTCCTTATTGACCACTAATGTAGCAATGCTTATTTTTCACATGTTTTACTGAAGTATTTGCCAAAGCTTTAGGGTGATATAGACACATTATCTGTAGGTCCTGAGAACTGTGCTATCGTTCTGCATTTCTTTTCCCAACCAGAAATGCAGCACTATCCAGTAATTGCATGTTGTTATCCTATTAGCTTTTGAGGAAACTTTCCCACAAGACAGAACAGCCTGGTTTGCTCTGTTTTTGTACTATATTTGATAATATATGGCATGGCTTACTTGCTTGGACCAACTGGATCTATTGAGCCAAAGGTATATTTGCTCTCTTCAAGACACCTTGCAGTCTGAATTATCTACTTTGGAGCAGGTATACTTAACAATTTTGTTTTTGTTCATTTTTATACTAAAAGCAACAATCAAAACTTCCCCAAATATATTAATCTATTTGATGGGGGAAAAGCAAGATCATGGAAAAAATCTTCATAAACTTAACAGAGTTTGAAAGAATCAACTACAGGAGAAAGTGAAAATGACTGATTTCACTAATCTAGGTCTAGGGCTTTCTATGCTGAACTCTGTCAGATCTATTGAGCCAAAGGTATAGATCTGGATCTATTCTGTCAGTGTAAGTGGAGAAAGCCTCTTCACAGAGCTAATAACGGCAGAGTTTTCAGCAAGTCCATTACTGCGCTTTATCTCTATCTATCCACCAGGGAGTGCAACTGACCCAGATTCAGCTTCTTTGGAACAAACTGATTCAAGAGACAACTACAATGAAATTCTAGATTTTGCTTCCAGAGGTTAACAAAATGAAGTAGAGCACACACATGTTAATTGAGCATGCCAATAGTCATTTACTTTCCTAGTTCAAAGTAAGACAGGAAGAAACAGTCATTTCTTTCACTAAAGAGAAAAGGGGGGGGGAAGTGTCTCTCTTGTTTGCTACAGTTTTTATTCATGAAGATGCTCCACTGATTTGATGAAAATAGCAATGTCAAAAATGGTATTAGTATATCTAATTACAACTGATCTGGACTCCTATATATTTCTTTGCACTATCCTTTCAATTATTTTTTAGAGTATTAGATCATATAGCTATGAAAAATGTGAACCCTCAACTTAATACTCTTTTAACATGCTATTCAGTTTTTAAAATGATTTTTGTATTTGTATTAGGTGAAATAAATTCACATTTCCCTTACCAAATTATTCTGAGAGACTTTTGACAAATACCCAGGGACTTTGCTTCTAATCTTGGGACTGTTTATCTATTTTTGTTTAATTTGTATCCCACCCCTTTTCCACCCTATGAGTTGCAAACTCCTCTTGACAATCTGGTCCATAGCTTTATTTATTCATTATTTGAATAATAATGGCAGAAATTCAGGAGAAAGGTCTAGCCACTGAGCTAAGCAAAAAAAAAATACTTTACAAGCCCATATGCAATCTGAATGTCTCGGAACCAAAAGAAAACTTGAGGTGTAGGATTTTGGGGGGGGGGGGGGGGTAAAGTTTGTTCTTACCATTTAACCTGGGTTACACTCTACAACTCATTGAATTGTGCTACAAAGTTCACTTAATTGATTCCTGTTTCTTCTTATACTTGTTAATGGTAACAGAAAATCTGTTAAAAGGGAAGAAACTTCGATGTGGTGTTATTTCTTCTGCTTCAACAGCAGCTGAAACGCAGACATCTAATTCCAAAAACAATAACCTCTTTGCAAGACAAAACAGTTCCTTTTGTCAAATAAAGGGGTTAAAAAACAAACAAACTCAGTCCACCATCTTTTACATTACCTTACCCTAGTTAGTTGAACGGATCCTGATATAGTCTCTTCCTCTGTGACTGATGATGGCTTGTTTTGATCAGCTGAGAAATTCTGATCTGTTCCATTTCTGAAGTGGTTTGGCAGCGAAATCTTGGGTTCCAACCAACTGATAGTTGTTCCTGAAGTGAAAGATAGCTTACGCTGAAATTTACTCATGTTCTAGTAGTAGCAGGTTTTTTCCCCCCAAACAACTATTGTCATTTACCCCCTTCCCCCTAAAAAAGACATAAAGCGACTAAACTTGCTCAGCAACAACCAAAAAAGGGTTGGCGCAGAAGAACACCACCTTCTCTGATCATTAGGAGGAGGCCTGTGATTGGGCAATGATGACACACACACAGCACACACTCCACTTGCTCTGGAGGAGAAAGAGATGGTGTTATGAAAGGTGTAATCAGACACCAGATAAAGAACCCAGTAAGACTGGGTTGTTACATAATCCTTTTGGACAGGTTGCTGCACCAGCACTGTAGAGATAGTTTCATGAAAAAACAATTCCAAACTGTAATTTACTTCTAGGGAAAAAGGCCAAACCCAGACATATTTTTCCAGGGTTTTTTTGTTGGGGGAGGGGATGGGGAAGCACTTCATTTTTTTTCACAGCTGAAGCAGCAGTGTGCTCTCTTAAACAAGCAATGGCTTGAAAGTTAATGCTGTAGCCTTTGGAAACCGCCACCCATTCATTTAATGATTCTGGTGTCTCCAATTACCTCCCAGCTAATCTATCGGAATGGATACAATTCCTCATAAATAATGAAAATATTCCATTCTGTCCTCAAAGACAACTGTATGTAGACTAACAAAGTCTTAGTCAAAGAAATACACACATAAACATGAATAAAGGAACAGGCAGTTTGGGACATAAACATTACTGATAACTTGGCATCTGCTGCAGTGTTGGATTCTAGGCTTAGCTACAAGACTATACAATCTGGAGGAATTCATTTAACAGCAGTTATTTTGGTTGACTGAACTTCACATATTGCTAAACTGCTGGCCAACTGTAGCAAAGGAAAGTATCAGGAGCCTAAGGCACTGACAGCTCTGCTAAGTACTAGGACAAGAGACTACCAGCCAGCACCAGGCACTATAGGCAATATTTCAGAGGATGGAAATGGCAAAATCATCTCTGAGTTTCCTTTGCTTTAAAAAGCCCTATGACATTAACTGGATCACATATACACATGTGCACACACACTCTCTAGTTTTGGAACAGGAAGCTCATAGTTGAGCCTGTACTGCCTTTTAAAACCCCTTTAGATGTACATCAAAGATTAAGACTTCACCCAAAAGAGGCTGAACCCAAAATCAGAATCTGATTCACTGTTCAAATACTCACACACTTTGAGAGTTGAAACATCAAGTTACAGAACTGAATGATGCACCCTTTTCTTTCCAGTTCTGCTTTATGTCATACTTTCAACTCTTTCATACAAGTCAGATAAACCATATAATTCTTCAGGCATTAGATTTAAGTGAAACACCACAGTCTATCTCATCAGTACCTTACAGTCTAATTTTGCCACATGTTGTGGTTCAACCAGAGGCTTAAGACGATGGGATTGTCCAATCAGCGGTTTTGAGGACTGATGGGCTTTCCATATGGGAAATGAGGGGATTTTAGAGCACAATTCTCTTTGGGAGAATGGGTCTGCTCCTGGTGAGAGAACGACGGCTTCAGAGCAGAGCGGAGATGGAGATGCTGTGGCATTAGAAGATAAGGAGAACCTTTCCCCTAGCCGTTCCTTGGCAACGGAAGATAAGGAGCTAGAAGGGAGAGATCTTTCCCCTGGGAAAACACCTGAGGTCAGTAGGAGCGGGAGGCTCGATCTCTGGGAGGAGGAAGCCAGATTACGGATATCACAAAGACTCCATGACATATCTTTGAAACAACAGAGCAGATGTCGAAGACATGACCTCATGGCTTTGTGGTCCTTAAATTAAAGTGTTGTTTATTAAAAGGGTTAGAGCAGGCAACGCTGCGTTACTGTTCATACCTTGGTCTTGTTCCACGTTCAAGTCTATGTTTAAGTTCCTTGGGAAAGTTTAGTGCTCATGTTCATGGATTCATGTTTTGAAAGAAGTTCCTGTGTTCCTGGCTGAGGATTTATGCTTATGTTTTGATTCCTGATTTTTCATGTTCCTTGTTACTTTTGAACATAACTCTTATGAACTCTGATGTATGGACTATTGTCTTTTATTAGTCTTTTTTCTTATTGTTTTTTGGGACATTGCTTTTTGTCTTACTTTTTGCCTTTTTATATTTGTTTTCTTCAATAAACTATTTAGCTAGTAATACTGGACTCTTCCTGCTCTGGCAGCAAGGTAACAGCGCTCCATGCAGCCATGTCAACCACATGACCTTGGAGGCGTCAATGAACAACACTGGCTCTTCGCCTTAGAAATTGAGATGAGCATCAAGAGTTGCACAGAACTAGACTTAATGTCAAATGGAAGCCTTTCCCTTTCACTGGACTCTTGTGTGGTGCAAAGGTGAATCCAGGCCAGAGTGCAACACCACGAGTGACATTTTACATGAAGGTGCATAACAGATGACAAATCTGCCACCCTCGAAGTCTAACACAAGACATAGCTATTTTTACACGCTTCCTACAAAAAGTGTTTTGGTATGCAGCTGGAGTATATAAATAGTTAAAATTCCTTCATATTTATTCCAAAGTACTGATGCAGCTCTAGTATAGTAATTCCTCAGCTCTTCAGTGGGTTCAAAATATGGCAGCCAAATTGGTTACAGGAACATCCAGGAGTGAACATATCACCCCTATCCTACAGTCACTCTACTGGCTGCAAATGAGTTTCCGGGTAAAATAAAATGTTGGTTTTGACCTTTAAAGCCCTACATGGTTTGGCTCCAGGTTTCCTACAGGATTGCCTTCCCCCATATACTGAAGCCTTCTGGGGGGCTTCTGCTCCAGGCTGCCAGAACCCAACAGGCAACCACCACCCAGAGGACCTTTTCATTGGCCGTCCCAAGACTGTGGAACAATCTGCCAGAAGAGCTCCCACAGCTAGATCAGTTATCATAATTTAAGACACAAGTGAAGACCTACCGCTTTTGGCAGGCCTACCTAGACAGTTTTAATGATGGATTTTAAACTTGCATCTTATGTTCAATCTCTATTTTGTGTATTTTAATATGTATTTTGTGAAAATACATTTTAATACATTATGTGTACTTTAAAGAATGTTTTTAGGTGAATGTGTATTTTAGCAATATTGTAATCTGCCTTGAGAGGCAGGCAAGAAATAAAAATTATTATTAGTAGTATCATGAATGATAATTTGCCATTTGATTCAACTACCTTTGGAACAACTGTCTATGAACCACATACTGTACACTTCGGAAAAGCCAAATGTTAGATTAACAGTAAAAAAAGGATAGGCATGGCATTTCTATGGATGGCGTTATAGTGTTAAAAGACTAGAACATCTCACACTACCAGTGCCTAACAACTTCCTTGTGTAATTTTTTTAAAAAACCATTCAGGTAGGGATTAAAGTAATTTACTTCCAATTCTAAGCAATGGAAGAAAATGAATTCAGACCATCTCCAATTTAGATTTTCATTCCAGTGCCAACAGGGATGAAGTTGTTGAATTTTATCAATTCTGTGCCTGCCCTGCTCAACCCACACACAACTCTTCTCCTCTAAAAGGTAAGGGATGCAGACTTTCCCATAGGGTTACAAAATGATATTGATAAGTTTTAAGATATGACTTTGAGAAGTGCATGATGTCAGTATTATACTCATCTCATGCAACTATCTCCTTAAAAAGGCTAAAAAGTGCTGACTGTCACTTACACAAGCATAATCTCAAATGCAGAGTCATGTCAGCATATAAAAAACAGTAGATAGTTAGCAACTGCTTGGATTTATCAACAAAAATAAAATACATTACTTTTAGTTTTACCTTAAAAAAAATATAACAGAGAAAACATAACTCACCGCTAGATAGGGATCCTTTCTGTTGTGATGCATGCTGTAGTTGGAGAATGTGGAAGCAATCATTTAAGCAATTCATTGTTGCCATGGAAGTTGCTTTAAGCATCAGCAGATCTTGGTCCAAGGAAGAAAAATGACCAGAAGTAGGAAGGCATTCTATGCTTCTTACAAGGTCTCTTTGCTGTCCCTCAGCTTGATACATCTTCTACACACAAATAAAATAATTTGTTGTAATTTAAGATATCTGAAACTTCATCAAAACTCTCACTTATTTAAAAAGCCCTTGCTATTTAAATTAATTCAAAATCTGAATATAACCATACGAAAAAACCATTTCCTTCCTGTTAATCCAAACTTGTGATCATCTAATTTGTTCAAGCATTCAAATTACACTGAAGAGAGACTGAAGAGCATTATCTGTTACCTCATGACTGCAATGTTAGCCATTCTGCTTTCAGTAACTTTTCAAAATCTTGGGATAGCACAACTCATCAATCACAGAACTCATTCAAAATAATGTATACCCTTGTTGAATGCAGGCCAAATTTTATCAAATCTTCAGTCATGATTGCTCTTCTCTCCCAACTAATAGGAATCTTGGTACATAATAGGCTTCTAGGAAAACTCAACACATACCCCATCTAAAGACTTATCAATACAAGTGAAGCAGAGATACTGCCTGTTATCTTACGCATAAATTCTTCTATGACAGCACAAAATTGGCTCTAATTCTTAATCAACGTGTCATCAATTATGACAATTAAAATCAACGTATGCTTTTTATCCAACTGCACACTTTTATTGCATTTAATCCTAATAATTTCTGCTCACTTTTTCAACTTTTTTACAGTTGCTCCTTATTACTATCCTTTCTTTCCAGTCAAAACCCACTCATTACGTTACCACATCATTGGCTATTATATTTTCATTTAGCTCCCAAACATCTTAGAATCCATTTCACAAGATAAAAATGGTCATATTTGTCCATTTGTCTATTTAAAGCTGAAGTTTACTTCAATTTCCACTTCAAAAGACCCAAGTTTCACATGCTTACTGGTGCACACACATTTTAAAAAATACTGAGCAAATTAAAGACTCCTGATTAAAGATTCTTCATTATCTCTTGATTAAAGCATTTTTTCTAGGACTCAGTTGAAGATAATCAATACAGAGTTTCTTATTAAGCCTTAGTTCAGTCTCATCCCAAAGCTACGTATCATACACAGGCAGTCCCCAATTTACAAACAAGATAGGTTCTCTAAGTTTGTTCTTAAGTCTAATTTGTTTGTAAGTCAGAATGAGTATTTGCATCTTGAGCCATTTTTTAAAAAAGTTTTGGATAGCGTAGGAAAGGATTAACACCCTTTAATGTTTGTTTTGCTGTCTGTGCCCCTATTCAGAAGATTTCACCTCACTTTCTGTCCCTGCAACAATTGGATTTTGAAAAATTTGGGTTGTCATAGAAACAAGGATTGGTGATAAACCTTCTGTGGAGACACATTTTTCCAATGATAACTCTTACATGAGTGATTTTCTTTTCCTAGGAGGAGATTTCCTCTCATTTCTTGCTGTATTAGGAACAGGAAGTGAGATGAAATATTTCTAATGAGGATATACACAACAACATAAATCTCACTGAGGCTCTAACCCATGCTAACAAATAATACAAAAACAAAATTTGCAAGGAGTCCTATTCTAAATGGAACTTGGGCAGTTGTTCATCTTAATACATTATTTATTTTCACTCATACAATACATGTAAAAACTTACACATTTTCAAATGCTGTATAATACAGTACAGTACAACTTTAAACAATCTTGGTAGAGGATGATGGACTTCTTAAAGAAGATGGGAAGGGTTTTAGAGAGTCAAAATCAGACATTTTCTCACAAAATAACCCATTTGCATCTACATAAAAATAACCTCCCTCATCAATAATATCTTCCAATATTTTAGGGAAATCATTTGCAGCAATTATGTCAGCACTCGATGCTTCACCTTGAACTTTAATATTATGCAAACTTCCTCTTTCTTCAAAGTGATTGAACCAACCCCTACTTACAACAAATTATTAATCGCAATTGCCTTCACTTGCTGTATGAGCAGCTTTTAGATCATTGAAAAGGCTTTGAGCCTTCTCTTACACTAAAGAAAGACTGACAGGCATACTACACTGATTTTGGTTTTCTATCCAAATTGTCAACAGCATTTCCATCTTGATAATTAAGCCACTGCATTTCTTGTTGAATTCTAGCATTCATTGAGGTGTGGCCTTTCACATGCTCCATGAAATGATTTATGAAAGGCAACTTTATCAATATTCAGAAACACTGAATCATACAGTATTGCAATTCAAATGACCCTGGATGCTGAAGGAAGCTTGTCTTTGATATAAAACTTGATATTTTCTAATCTCTTAACCCCAGTTAAAAGGTTAGAACCACCTCTAGGATATTAATATTTCCTCTGTTTCTCCTATTTCAAGTAATTACTCCTTTTATCATTAGCACTAATGACCTCAAATACCCAATTTGCAATGATCTGAATATTGAGGATAGTTCAACCAAGTGTTGAAACTAAGCCTTCAAATTTTGGCATAACTTCTAGCTATTGTTAGCATGCAGTGACATGTAGATGTAACTACATGTCAAAAATATATGGAAGAGGGATGGTTGAGTAGAAGAGAGAAGAACCTGGAAGCCCAAGGAAGATGGGAGAGGTAAAGAGAGAAGGAAGATTACATGAGACCCACTCAGATGCTACTTATCTCTTAAATTATACTTAAAAAATCTGGAAAGATTATACCTCTACTGAGTTCACTATTTACCAACAGCTAAATAGAAGAAGATATACTGTATAAAGGATAATGGAACTTTATAAGCCCAAAATATACTATGTATAGCACTTTTCTTTGTAAATGCTTGCTTGCATCTTTTAAAAATATCCTCAATTACATTATCTGCTGTCTGGAAAAGACTTTAGTTCTGTTTTTAAACCCTGCAGATATGCAAAAAAGGTAGAGAGAGAGAAGTAAACAATATTAATGCTCTTCCACAATATGCTCTAATTACTGAATTAGTTGCTCAAGAGATGCTGCAAAGCGACACCTATCTAGAGTAAGCTGATATTGCAAGATGTAAAAAAGATTCAGGTCATCCAAGGGTTGGGCTAAAGACTTCTTGTCAAGTTTCTGAAGCAAGCTGGATTTCTTTTCCCCAGTTGAAAAATATTCCCTACAATTAATCTGAGGAGGCAAAGAAACAAATATGCATCCAAACTCCTTACAGTTATAGAGTACAATTCATAATTATTGCAAATACTAAGATATTGAGCAAAAATAATAAAATATACTGCCTTATATTTATTATGGCAAGGCCTTCCGCCCACAGTATGAATTATTATCCAGAATTTCAGTAATACAATTACGCATATTGAAGCAGGAGAGTTGGAGACAGAGAAATCAGAGAGCAATCAATACAAAAATATTGATGGTGATAATTCCATTTTTAACACAGGCTATTCACTTTTTCTCTGATAGTAGAGATTCATGCAATATGATAAGAAATCTTTTTCAATACAGAATTCTCTCATAGACTAGAATCTCTGGAGGAATAATTCAGCAATCACTTGTTGTTGGTCCTTGAAGTACTCCATTCCGGGGAGTAAATATGCTAAACCCTTTTTCTTATCCACAGTAACATAGCAGTATGCAGAGAAATAGCCATGTTCATCTGCCTGGAAAGGTACAATGGAATTCTGCAGCACCTCAAAAAAGTTCTAGTACAACCTTCCAAAGAACTATTTTATTTTATGTACTTGATGAATTACATGCATCTGATGAAGCAGACTGGAGTCCAGGAAAGTTTATGCTAGAAATTCTCACTAATTTCAGAATAGCTTAGTGCCACAGGATTCATTTATATCTTTTTTTCTTTTATATTAATGTAGATTAAACACAGAAGCCTATAACCACCAATGAATGCTGAAGAATACCATATAGCTTGAACCATAAATATCTAGGAACCGATTTTGGGATGTTGCATTCTTCCAAAGAAACCAAGAAGAGATTTTATTTATACTAACCTCTCGTACGTCAATTAAGTGATCTGGCTGCAGAATGGGAATTCTCTTCCCAGCTGGTAACCTGTGATGACCAACATTAAAAAAAGAGGCTGCATTTTGGCTGGGCCTTCTCTGCACACCGGGAGAGCCACTGCCTTGAGATGCAAGGGAGAAGCTGCGAGATTTCAGAGGAGGATTGTTCTGGTGAACAAACATATATATTAGGAAATATTTACAATTTAATTCCTAACACCTCCACCCTTCCAGACTATGTACATTCATGCATATACTATGAAAATATGCCACTAAGAATTTGGAAACACCTCAGAATGAGCTAACTTATAAATATACTCAGGCCTTGACCTGTTTCAAACATGCTTCAAACTCTAGGAGTAGCTTCCATCAGCATTGCTCCCCTTTCCTGACGCCCTCATGGTACCAAAGAAAACACATTTTCCTTTTGTGTGTGCGTGTTTCCTTTTCTGATTCTAGAATAGCGCCATGGTCAATAGCAAGGCCAAAAGACATCGCTGGAGAGTTTTTCACAAAATTGAATAAGAAAAATTCTATAAAGCACACAAAGCCTTAGTAATCTGTCCCCAATTATTTTGGGAAAGCTTTTGTGTCAGATCATAATGTGCTTTTCCCCAAGTGACTGTGTAGCCATGGTGCTTAAAGCCAGCTTTCATTTCCTTATGAACAGATAAAATAGAACATGGTATGACATTTTATGAGCAGTTAAAACAGAACATGATATGTGGAATCCGACCCGCAATCCATGCTGCAGACATACTGTTTAGGAAACACATATATGTTGATTTTATATTTATTCTACAGTATTATTCATTTAATAGAAACACGGCTGCTCCATATTTGGCAGCTATATGAAGGGAATAAATATATCCACACACAGGCATGTGTAAATGTGGCGCCTCTACATGAGAGTGAGTGCTGACTGGTTCAAGGTTTATCATTAATAGAGGAGCTGTATGCTCTTATTTAAGCATGCCTATACATATAGAACCTTATATATCTGCTCAGGAAGATATTGCATTTATTTTATTTATTGTATTGTATATTACTTATTTCATCTCTCCCTTCAAAAATAAAAACTCCAAACGGATTAGAAACAAACGAAGGAGTTTTTCATTAACAATGACTCCCAATTTCATCTGAACCAAGCAAAGAGGTTATTTGATTTTTTAACTGGTAACTTTAACACCTAATATTTTTTTTTGCTGTAACTAAAACTGGAACAGGATTACTTTGTAGGCTATAATAGTCATAAGCTGTAATTCAGGAGTTTTCAACAAAATGAGAACCAGCTATCTGCCCATTATACATTACTGAGTGTGTGCATTGTAATCCGCCCTAAGTCCCCTTTGGAGTGTGTGTCCTGACTCTGAGCAATGAAATGCCTCCTGCATATTCCTGATGACCTATGAATGTATGCAAATTCATATTCTTGTTAACCACTGAGATCCACAAAGAAGGTCTTTTGTCATTGCCCCCCCCCCCCCAACACCAACTGCTGCTCTGGGACCAGAGTAAAGAGAGGGGCCAAGAAGACAGTACCATCTTGTCTTCAGTATCATCAGTTGGGGGCCCTTCCCCCCAACACCAACTGCTGCTCTGGCACCAGAGCAAAGAGAGAGGTCCAGGAAGATATTGCATTTATTTTATTTATTGTATTGTATATTACTTGTAAGCCGCCCTGAGTCCCCTTTGGGATGAGAGGGGCGGCATATAAATGTCACAAACAAACAAATAAATAAATTGCAAACTTCACTCATTATACATCTAATCTCTTTGTTTTGCCTATGTACAAGATGAAACAAGCTCACTGCCTGATCCCATGTGCACCTGTTAACTTGTTCAGAAAGAAACTCCACTGTATTCAGCAAACACAGGACTGTAGACTCAGTCTGAGGAACTACATTGCAAACGCAACTGAAGGAAACTGACCTAAACCTTCTGAATGAAGGAAGAGATAGCAGTTCTTAGAGCATGCCAAACCTAATTAAAATGTTACAGGTGCCCAGTTCCATTATTAACAACTCAGATTCATAAGCCAGAGCATAACAAGGTTTGGACCCCATGCAGTTATTTCATCTCTCCCTTCAAAAATAAAAACTCCAAACGAATTAGAAACAAACGAAGGAGTTTTTCATTAACAATGACTCCCAATTTCATCTGAACCAAGCAAAGAGGTTATTTGATTTTTTAACTGGTAACTTTAACACCTAATTTTTATTTATTTATTTATTTATTTTGCTGTAACTAAAACTGGAACAGGATTACTTTGTAGGCTATAATAGTCATAAGCTGTAATTCAGGAGTTTTCAACAAAATGAGAACCAGCTATCTGCCCATTACACATTACTGAGTGTGTGCATTGTAATCCGCCCTAAGTCCCCTTTGGAGTGTGTGTCCTGACTCTGAAGGAGAGGAGGAAGGGACAACTTGGGGGTGGGTGGGTCATGCCGTAGCTTTATTAAGAACAAAAGAGAAACTAAGACGGAGATACATTAACTACATGAGTAGCAATAAAGGTAGTAAGATGGGCATGTTAAAAGAAAAAAAATATTTAAAGAAGTAATTATGTCTTTCCTGCTTTACTGTGCTGACACACATGAGAGGAAAGAGAAGCATAGTTTGTTGTCACTACCACAATATATAAACAGAAATGTGTCAGTGTGAGATGTTTGGAGAAAGTGAGCGAGAGGACTACTCTGTCAGGATGGCTATGCAAAATAGGAGAACAGAGGGTGCACAAGTACTGGCTCGTTTAGATCATTATATATAAGATATAAGAAAGAATTTGATGGAAGGGTAAGGGTTGCTTCTCTGCTGAGGAATAGGCACATGATTTAGAGTCAGTGATTCTGTGCGAAAGAGTCAGGTATGGAAGAAGAGCTGAGCAAATGGTACAATAGTTACATCATTAGCAACTCATAAGTAACAAGTAACTCACTAAGTTACCTTTCTTGACTGAAGTAATGAGTAAACTAGTTCCTTTTAAAAAGTAGCATTCCACATTCTGGTCTGAACAGGAATGTAGACAGGCTTTGGACAGGAATGTATGACAATTGGACAGGCCTTGGACTACGATCTGGATTATGTGATTTTGATTGATGTTTTAATAATTGTTTAATTGTGTGGTTTCAATTGTCTTTGTTTATTTTTATATTTATATGTATTGGCATCAAATTGCTGCCTGCTGTAATGCTGCCCTGAGTCCCCTTTTAGGGCGAGAAGGGTGGGATATACATATGTGAAATAAATAATAAATAAAAAAATGTGATGTTTACTACATAGGAACAACACAAGGTATTAAAACATCTTCAAACAGTATTGTAATTTGTTGTGTTCTTCCAAATCTGACAATCAAAGTTTCTCCGTCTGTTAAAAAAAACAAAACCTTTCCTGGTTTGGTTTTTGGACCGCATGAAATGAAGTGTCTTCATGTACATGCACCTACGGCTTATAAGGATAAGATACTAATTATTTGTCAGGCCAGAATCTCAGTTTCTGGATATCTTTAAGGTGTTCATGTCAAAACCTAGCCAATGATTTAGATTTTATTGAACCATACCACAATCAGGGAAATCACACAGAATTGTTATATATGTACCTTTTTAAATGTACCTTTTAAAGTACAAGTACATTATGAACAATTAAACAATGATAATTTCACAGTTCACACCATGAGTTACAGATAGTACCTTTCCAATTGCTTCAGTATGATGCTGTGTGCATATCTGAAGCCTGCTGACCCAGTGCTGCCGTTCTTTGGCATCAGTAGCTGAGTAGGGAGGGAAAAAGAGAGAGAAGGTAAGAGACAGGTCATACAGAAAAGCAATAGTTTTTATTTCAAGTGAAATTCTGTTTAGGATCTCCACTTCTAGCATGAACAATATAGATGGGTATAACCCAAGACACCCTCTCCCTCTATTTGAATGACTGCATCTTGTTTCTGTGTGTGTCATAATTCACTATAATGGTTCTGCAGTACATTGCAGACCATGGTATGCATAGTATTAAAAGACAAAACCAAGGCAATGTTGAAATTTCCCCCCTCAAAACACGATTCCTTTATATTTTTCCTATGTATATAGATTTTAAGAATGATTTTTATTATGTGTGTTTGTACATATAGATTTTTGTATCTATTCTTAAAGGATCATGTTGGAAAACATTGAAACATCTCCATGCATCTGGAAAAGATCTGTAACAGCACAAGTTCTGATCCACTTCCATTCTGCTCACATTTGCACCATAAAAGAGAAAGACAAAGACGTTGCAAGATTTCTGTGCAGAATAGGAAAACTTTGCTCAAGTGCCTTCAGGAATTGAGTATGTCTTTGTGAAGTTATGCTCCAGAGTGATCTTTAATACTAAGAGATGTATTTCTGATGCTAAAAAAACAAGATTTGGTACAAAGCCTGGATTCAACATTTCCCTCGTACAAACAGAAACATTTCTTCTATCTGCAAGTGACTTCTGAGTTTTCCACTTATACAACAAAGAAGTAATTCGAATTTATTCCTTCCCATTTGCAGTTCTGTGTCTCCAAAAGACTATTTCAGAGGATTCGGGAACCATCTAGAATAGTATGTGAGATTGCACTGGAACAGTAACAGAAAAAGATGTTAAGAGGAGAGGAGAAAGTTGTTTAAAATAGCCCAAAAATATCCACTAGCAGCAGCATTTTAAATAAAACTTTGCTCCTGCAACATTGACACTGGCAGAACAAAATCTTGGATTTGGCCTTGATGGCTTGAATCCCATTGGTAGTCTCCACTAGAGTGAGCCCATCAAATCAAATGCTGAATGATGAGCCACACACATATGTAAATCTCATTCATTCAACAGGTCTGCTCTAGTTGGGAATAATAATAGGAGGCCAAGTAGGTATTTGCTTAATCGTAAATACCAGGGAGGATACTTCTCTTCAATAGAATACCAACTTTCACATGATGAAAGAAAGAACTGGTATACAGTATCTGTCAACAACAGTGCAAGGCCTAACCAATTTCTCGTACTTCAAGTGCATGTTTGAAAGTGAGCAAGCTAGTTCAGGCACCTTTCAGATGATTATCTCAGTTCATTTTTGGATTCTAACAGCTTTCCTCCCACACTGAAGCTGCATCTCATTTGTGTCTTGTCTTTGTACAAAGGCAAGAAATGAAAAACTGATCTACTGAGAAGAGGCTTGGCTACATATTGGCATATCATGGCAGCACATCCACACCAACACGAAAATATGCAAAATATGAAGGTAGTTTTGATTAAGTCATGAAGAACCAATTCTGCTGAGTACATGCCAGTAAATATTTAGAAAGGTGCTCTGCAACTGACTCAGAGAATGAGACATTTGGAAACAACAAAATAATAGTCTTAAGAGGAAAAACCAGAGACGGACTCTTAACCTCATGTTCAAACTTTAACAAATCTAAGAAATTCCATATCTTGCATGTCTAATGTTTATGAAACAGAACATGCTATTTATAAGTGGAACATGCTATTCCATATATAAATCTACTTAAATAATTTTCCAGTCTCAATGCTGGTTCTCAAATAAATTACTATGAGCACTTACAAAGGTAAGAACTAGAAAGATGCATTAAAGGCATTTTTTAAATGAGGAAAGCACAGCAGTTTTTCTGTGAAGGCAATCTGAAAGGCTTTGTAGATTTCCACAGAAAGCTCCCCTGCTGTTTTGTGAAGTGTGCAATTTATCCAAGTGCTTGAGTTAAGCAAACCAATAAGATGGGACAGAACATCTTCTCCCAATGTCCATATTTTTCTGCAATGTTTTTGATACAGCGCTCCCAAGCTTTCAAGCATATTGATAGATTGAGGAATTGTGACAAAAAGCATCACTCTTCAAAAAAATGCGTGATGCCTAAATTTTTGCAATTTTAAAAATAAGTATGTTTATCAAACTACAATTACTATGATCTTGAAAGAGTAGTTATTTCAATTCTCTAGATTTATTGCTTTTTGAAAAAAAAACCCCATAACTCCAATTTTTAAATCAATTGTTCAAACATGTTCAAACAAAGCAACAAAGAGAAAGAAGACAGCGACACAAGCATACACACAGCTTACCAGGGAAGAGGAAAGATTGCTCCCTGGTGGTGAAATAGAACAGTGCAACCCAGAATTACAAAATTCTTTTGTTGCTGTGTGCCTTCAAGTACGTAGTTTCTGACCCATGGCACCCCTAAGCCAACCCTACCACAGGGTTTTCTTGGCATGATTTCTTCAGAAGAGGTTTGCCACCGCCCTCCTCTGAGGCTGAGAGGGTGTCACTTGGTCAAGGTCACCCAATAAATTTCATGGCAAAGAGGAGATTCTTACCTCTTAGTTTATATTGTTCCCCACTAGCAGCGTTCACTGTGAAGGTATGTGAATCTTCATCACTAGGGGAGATGACTGCTCCTGCCAGCTGTAAGGTCCCTCTAGGCTTTTGATTTCTGGACTGTTCATTTACAAAATACTCCAGAAGGCCAGCTTCATTGTTTAAGACAAAATACCTGCAATTTTTAAGGAAGTGCAGGAAAAAAGGTTTTGTAGACATTAAAATGAAAATCCAAATTTTATTCCTAAATAATAATTCTTGGATTCAAAATCTGCTCTTGTCAACAAAAGTAGTACAAATGCAGACAAAATTAACAGCACATAGGTTGGTCAGGAAACAAAACATGACAAATGGCATCACTTTCCATAAATTATGAATGCCGCCTAAATATTATAAATTGTTCTGTTCTTTGCTCTCTGAAACTGTTTATCAAAGGGTTACAGACTCACTAGATAAGTGGGTCTCCCCACCTCTCGGATGGTTGGTTATACCTGAGAATACAGATACGCAAGGAGAACAAGCAAAAGCTGCCTCCCAATCTTTGCAGGTGAGATCACTAGTTTTTGAGGATTCTGGGTTCTTTTGATTTAAAAGCTTCAACGGCCTTCTAGCTCTCCTCAGTATTTAGCATAGCATTCCAGCTATAACTGGTAAACAAACTGTGAGATTGTGTTATGCCACTAATATTAGACAAACAGGTTGAACAAATTGCAAAAAAATCTGGAAGACAGGGAACTGATTTGTGGCAATGTTAATTGGCCCATTATCAATATATGGCTTAAACCAAATTGATAGGATCTTTATTTATTTATTTATTTAGTTATTTATTTATTTACTTACTTACTTACTACATTTGTATACCACCTTTCTCAGCCCACAGGCGACTTAACAAACTAACTCCTATGTAAGTTTATGATCTTTCAACAAGTCTACTGTAGTTGAAATTCTCAGCTGATCTTAGGTTTATGAGGTTCAATTAGCACTACAATACCTGCCAACTGGCTGGTCAAATATTCTGTAGAGCCAAGAACAGGCTGTGCCTGCCATGGAGACAAGTCAACGAACTCACCATACAGAGCCTGAGGTCCTTCATGCCAGATCAATGAATCATATCCTTTGTTCTTTCTCTCATTCTTTCAAGTAAAGCAGTGCCTATATCTCCATCCCACTATGTGGACAAGTTGAGGTACGGATGGTTTTATCATCCACAAGTACTCAAGAAAGGTACTCAAGAAAGTCTTTATACCCTAAAGGAACTCTATATGAGCTTGGGGCACTTTGTCCTTTGGGGTCCTTTTCTCTGCTTGGAATGGAACTCCATAGATTCAAAGAGGCACCTCACATAGTTCACAATAGCCCAAAATCTAGAAATGCTAGAGAGGGCTCTTTTTCCGACATAAGGTCAAGTTTTTTTCATAAAAGAACACTCAAAGACTTTGGTAAGGCATGAAGAACTTAGCAACTTTCCAAAGTGCTGTTCTGCTCCCACTACTAACTTGAGCAGCTGACTGTTTAAATGTGTTGTTGACAATGTTGCAGAATAATTTAAGATAATTTGAATTTTTATTTCAATGAGGGCGCAAATAACATAGCGCATTTGATCTATGATCAGATCTGTACTGGCATTTTCTCCTACAGGTTTCATAGTAGTTCAGGGTAGGATAATTTAAACTAGGGAAATAACACCAATGCAGGATCTCTACTCCAGAACTGATGTTTTCCTGAAATTCACATTTACATGTATAGCCTACAATGGTTTTTAAAAGATTAGGTCTAAATTCTAGATTTCAGGATTAGGCAAATGGAAGGATTATAAAATGAACTCAAGGCTATGGTCTGAAGGAAGTTCACACACGATCAAATATTATCAGTGGTAAGGAAATATCTCTCCTTTCTTTTGTAAAAAAAGAGACTTAACTATTATACTAGCAGTACAAATTGTCATGCTACTAAAATTGGGGCAGCTATGACTCTAGAAGCATGTCTTTACTGAATAGAAAATATGCATTATTTTTGTGCAGGCTTATTTTAGTTGCTCCCTTCAAAATAATAAAATTACTTGTGAAACTTCAATAGCTCAAAACAGGCTAGTTGGGAGCACACTTAAATTTCAAGCTCTAATTTGAGATCAGGTCAATTCATATAATAAGAATTCAGTGAATAACTAAAACCTAAGAGTATATGCCCCCCCCCCCCCCCAGTGACAAAGCGGGTTAAACCGCTAAGCTGCTGAACTTGCTGAACAAAAGGTTGGAGGTTCGAATCATGGCTCAGCAAATACAACTCACTGCTATACTGACAAATAAAGGGGAGGTGAAACTAATGTGAGACAATGTGAGACAAAACAGAAAGATTTCTGTTAAAGTGCATATTTCTAGTAGGCTATAACAGAACGAGAGGGAAAACATCCCCAAGGCTCTGAAAAACCTGGATAACATTGTATTGTCGAAGGCTTTCATGGCCGGAATCACTGGGTTGTTGTAGGTTTTTACGGGCTATATGGCCATGCTCTAGAGGCATTATCTCCTGACGTTTCGCCTGCATCCAGCAGACAAGAGTCCTTTGTCCCACCCTGGTCATTCCACAGATATATAAACCCTTTTTCCTAGTTCCAACAGACCTCACTACCTCTGAGGATGCTTGCCATAGATGCAGGCGAAACGTCAGGAGAGAATGCCTCTAGAACATGGCCATATAGCCCGAAAAAATCTACAACAACCCTGGATAACATTGTTCATTTGAGGAAAAGAAAAGACTGAATACGCAAGCAATCAGTGGCAATATTGGGCATTCTCCAAGCATCTTTAAACACATTAAATTAAACATCACATGCCTCTTAAACCTCACAAATATACAGTTTCAAATGGAAATTGCAATAATCCTTCACTGAGGGTGTGAATCCAAACATACGTACATGGGAGCAGGGAGGAAACTACACTGAAAACAATGAGTCTTGTTTTTGAGCAGCCAAGTATAGGTATCCACTAACAAATACAAGTACCTCAGAATACTAGCTGCAATCTTCAATAGTTCCCTATCTTATGTAAAATACTCAATTTGAAATCAAAACATGCCTCATATCTATATTTTGCTTTTAAGATGCTCAGATCAAAATCTGTTTCATAGCTCTATTTCCTGTTTTATCCCTTGAAAAGTAAAACATACAAAATCTGCAGGTTAATTCAGAAATTAACAAGTGAGGAAATTTAGACCTTTTAGCTAAAAGAAGAGGTTAGTGGTCCATCATGCTTTTATCTTATTGGTATTCTGATTGCCTTCTTTAAACTGAACAACAGCCATTCAACCCTATAAGCTACGCAGCATTTTAATACAAGTCATCTGCCTCACGATTAAAGCAACATCGTTTTATCAATCTGATCACGAAGCACCAAAATTTTAAGTAATCAGACTTACCTATATTGCCATCCTGTGACTAGATTTGTGTATTTCATTAGGTATCCAGAAATATTTTCCATGTGATCACTATGACAAAAGTAAGAACACAGCCCATTAGATAAAGACAAATAATGACAATTAAAACACCTCACGTAGATACTCTGCAGTTTCATATTTGCAGCCCAAATAATCTTTCAGTAACTTTATTTTTAGAAACCAGCTTTATAAGTCAGCAAAGGGTGTGAAATGACTCTTAAACAGAGATCGCTGCAAGTGTGTGCTCTCTTTCTCTCTCCTCCTCTCTCTGTTTGTGCAGCGTTGATTCAGAATAGAGATGCCTTAAATACACCTACCAGGCTGCATATTAAGGGGAGCCGTTTCCAGCATCACCGGTGCAAAAGCCACTTTCAGTCTACAATAAAATTACTGGGCACCTCTTGACACATTTATAAAACTTCCATATTATGATTAAATTACTTAACACACTCAGGGTTTCCTGTTTCCCCACAGGATTAATTTTGGGCTCTTAGACAACTTTATACTATCAAATGGTTCCTAAGGTTTAGAAAGGAGTAAAGGGAAATCAATCACTAGATGCTGCCAATTAGGAAATTTGATTTTTTTAAAATTTTCTAAACACACACACATACAATATTAACTATGTGTAACACTGTAAATAAATATGCAATTTACTCACAACAACCTAAAAGAAAATGACATATCTCTGACTGGTTTAAGACAATAATTTATCAGACCATCAAGCCAAAACACTAATACATTAAAGAGTCACTAATAAACCAAGGAATCATAGCTACTGAATCCAGAACAAGTCTAAATATTAAAAATAAGTTCATACTGTGGTTTAGTGTGATAGCTTGTCCTTAATCTGGAATCAAACTGGAAACCATGGTTAGAGACTTCTTGGTTTCATTGTTAATGATGCAAAGGGAATTTGTAGTCACTTGACTTATATAGCTGAGCCATAATCATTCAAATTCAACTATTGATTATAAGATTATGAAAATATACCAACAGTTTTCTACTCTTCACTCCATTATCTTACTTTGACTGGTGCTATTAACATGTGAAATGCAGCATGTGTAAGCTTACTCAAATGTAACCCCTACTCATTTCAAGGGGATTCATTCACAGGTAGGTTTCTCAAAGCATTTTGACTTGCTTGTGTGCACTGTGCTAGTCCCACACTTACATGCATTATTCCCTGGGAGCTAAACATATGCAAACATATTGATTTTTGGAAGGAAAACGATCAGCAATTGGACCCACATCTGGACAACACGCAGTTCTCAGAAAACAGTAAAAGATTGTGTACTTGAAGAATTCCAATTGCATTTCAGATCTACCTCATACATGATAAATCTTTATCAACCACCTTCAATTGTACTACTTGCAAATGAATTTTACCGCACTTCCCATAAGTCAAAGTATTCTGATATCAAGCTATTATCTACTACCTTTATTGAAAAAGTTCCTCAAGAATTGATATAATGAATGACAGTAGCTACCAGAGAACTAGATGATACAATGTACACATAAAGCAGATGTGAAACCTGAAAAAGGTAAGACACACACAGTAATCTTCTACCCCATGATACAAAGGCCATTAAACCCTACTCTTCATAATAAGATCTGGGCGGATTTCAACATTTAGAGGATATACGGTACATAAAAAATAACATCACAAAAAAAATTGCAAAAGAAATAACTACAGAATTTCAGGTGAACTTCTGACTATTTTTATTTATTTATTTATTACACTTTTATCCTGCCCTTTTCAGCCCGAAGGCGATTCAGGGCAGCATATATAGAGATGAATGAGTTCTGTGTCTGCCTGTGCATATATATACATTTTCTCTGTAAGACAAAGCTAAAATCTGGACTTGTACAAGAATTTCTCCAAGGAATAAAGCCATTACTGAAAAGGGTTATATCTGGTCTGTAATAGTTCACAAAAGACAAGCACCCCAAAGGAAGTCTGAACTAAGGGATATGTTATTAATTAGATTTCGTCATGAGACCAGAAAAATTGGTTCCAAAACGTTAATCCCATTCCTATATAAACTAGGAGATACGCCACCCAAGGATTTCAAACTGCAGTGGGAAGCTGCTCCAGCAAAATAATAAAATTCCACAACCACTTGAAGATCTAGCTATACAGAGTTGAACACCAGTTGCAAATTATTTGAAATCATTTTGAAGACCAATTGAAAAGCTAATATGCCCCATGTTCCTAAAGGTATCCAGCTTTTCTAGTATAACTAGGCATCATCTTAACCACACAAGTCAGTACTGATAGAGATTTCCCTGTTTCATGTGCAGAGAAGCCTGTCCCAGATACAATGCTCAGCTGAAGCGTTTTACTAAATATAATGACCTATTTTTTCATTTGGAAGATAACATCAAAGTGCTGTCTCAGAGAGCTGCATATATGGTTATATGAATAATTGAAAAGGCATAAAGAACCAGGAACACTGATCAGCTCAACTGTGAGACCAAACAAGTCCCCTAGCAGTGCATACATCCATTAACATTTTTTCTGTATTAGATGCCACATAACTAGTACCTAGTCACTTTCACAAACAAACAAACAGGCTGTTTTTCTAGTTTCTACAAGAATGTCTGAATTGGCACATTCCTTGACATATTCAGTACTGTACAATATAGACTGATCATTTCTCAGTGTCTCCCAAACATAGTCATTTTCTGGATAAAATCGTACTTGAGTGATACGTGTTAATACTAGTGTAATGGCAGCTTCATGACAGCTCTATAAGCAGCGGGTGCTAAAACTCCACTTAAGGTCATCCATATAAAGAGGTTGAATAATCAGCAAAACAGGCTTATATGCAGGTTGTTAAATCTTATATGGATACAAGTTTGAGGAAATTGTTCAACTGCTTAGTTTACTATTGGGATTATTTAATCACATACCAGTTGATGGAAAGCTTGGGCAGATGGCTCTGGTTCAATTATTATTTAGCTCCCCCAAAACGGTTTCCAGAAATTATTTCAGCGATTCATTACCCATCACTGCTTTGAGTTCTCACTGAGATTTATTATTTTAAAAACTATAAACTTCTCTAATATGTTTTAATGTTACAAGTAAGTTTTCCTGCGCGGCAGGGGTTGGACTAGATGGCCCTTGTGGTTTCTTCCAACTCTATGATTCTATAATTCAATGATTCTATCTTTTATTGATCATAGGTGACAGGTTGTGGTTTTGTATAACAATGATTCTTGTCCACTTACTCCTCCAAGTTAAAAACAATACTTAGTTCCTTCCTTGTCCCTGCTCTTGCATACTTTAGATTGCAGGCAAATTTGTTTCTCTGGCACTAATAAAAAGACTAATCTATGTAAACTTCATGATGCAAATGAAACTGCGGGTGTGTATGTATGTTAAGTCAGCTGAAACTATATCAAGATTATTACTATGTGGAAATTGCTGAAGCTTCTGAGCTAAAGATCGCCTATCTAAAGAAGCTACAGTTAACCGTTTAAATTCAGCAATCACAGAAAGAGGGGTCTAACTGAAGTGTCATGCAAGCATTAAGCCTACAATGTTACGATCTTGAAAAAGTGACATAAAAGGAATAGGAGGGAGGGTAGGAAGGAAGCGGGCAATATCGACCATTAAATTCTTGGTAACAAAATAAAATACAAAATACACAAAGGAATGATGTCTTCATTGGCCAACCAAAATGTAGAAAGCACGTAATGCAAGCTTTCAAAGCTCCACTGGCTTCTTCATCGGGCAAAAAATGTTTTAAAAAACATATAGTAATGTTTATAGTTTAATTTATTGATATTAGGTTTAATTTACTGGTGTTAATCTTCTATTAGATGTTAGATTTTAATGTTATTTTCATATGTGGGGTTTTTCTGCAATTTTATGTTGGTGTTTGCTTGTTTTATCTGGGCACTAAATGTTTGCCATTGTGTGTTGGAATCCACCCTGAGTCCCCTTGAGGAGATAGGGTGGAATACAAATAAAGTTTTTATATTACTATTACTATTATTATTGTATTATTATTATTGTTATTATTACTGTTATTATTATTATTGCTTCCTTTCTTAGTAGTAGTAGTAGTAGTAGTAAGAAAAAAAAGAGGAAAATGATGGTGCAAGAGTCATAGGTCTGCATTTTGCATCAGATCGTGTCTCTGTTATATTTCAGTTGATCTGGAGGGATCTCAATGAAGGCAGAGATTGATATTCCCTTTGGCCATGTGAGAATTGAAAGAAAGAAAGAAAGAAAGAAAGAAAGAAAGAACTGTAAAATTTAAACTCCATTAGCAGCAGTAAAATTACCCCCCCCCCTTTTGAAGACACAGGCACCATTCTCAGGCAGAGAATACTGCATTTCTTAAGATGTCTATGGTTTTACAGCAAGACTGCTCTGCTAATACATGACTGAATCTTCACATTATTTCTCTAAGTGTGTGTTCTCAAGACTACATTTGGTAAGGTAAGCTGAACATAGAGATAGAGGGCTCTTTCATTGTTGCTGCATTTTCATATTCCTATTGTGTCCATTCTTTCCTAACATTACAAAGAGAGTACAACTTAAAACAGCAGGAAGACATGGAGCACTGAGCAGGTCTAAAGCAGAAGTTTTCAAAAAAATCAGCTCAAGAAAAATCGCTATAGCTGGAAATCCTCCAAATGTAATATAGCTGGTTTACTTCTTACATGGGGAAGGGGGGAAAAGTTATATATAAATGAGCAAGACATGGTCTGTGCTTTAATGTGTCTGTGTAAATTGACAAGTCCTCGCTTTCTAGAAAGCCAAACTGTTCACAAGTAACAGGTTGGGGGAAGATGGCCATATTGATACTGCGCAGATCTGGGGATAGGGAAAGATCGGCACAAGGGACATGGCACAACTCTACAACTTTACACGCACAACTAGGAGAAATGAGGGTGTGGCCTTGTCCTCAGAAAGGCACAGACTGTCATGTCTTCCTTGGCAACTGTCCACAATTCACATTTCGAAGCCCATTGATCGGATGCAGTGGACCTTACAAAACAGCTCTGTTCTAAAAACAGGACAACTTATTTATATC